ACTGCGCATTGCCAAAAGGACGAAGGTTGAGGAAAAGGCTTTGAGGACAATGCGTGAAAGATGGCCCCAGAGGATAATTGCTGGGGACTGGCTGGAGGACAGAAGGACGCGGAGGACGGGCGGATGGGAGAACGGGCGGGTGGGAGGACTAGCGAGGAGAACGGGCGAGGAGGTGAAGGTTGGAAGGGGAAGACGGGCTCTGCAATTAAATGCCGTGTGTGCTAAAAGCGCCATATAATGAAAGATTTTTGGCAAAAACGTTTCCAGTAATCCTGGAATACAAAAAATGTCTTTCAATAATCATGTAAATTATTTAATTACGTGATTAATTTCACGCGGAACATTGTAGTTTAGAAAATGACTACAGTTCCATAGGTGAAGCTCTTGAGAGGTTTATGTAGTTGGATTTATTAGTAAAGTTACAGACAAGTTGTGATGGAGAATAGATGTTCTTAAAATATAGATATATAAGTTTAGTGTGCAACGCTCTTCTGGTAAACTTTGTTTAATTTGAATGATATTTAATTAAGAAGAAAGCTGATGTCCACTGAAATACACCGACAATTTTCCCTTATGGTATGGAATTTAACCTTTGAGGTTTATGGAATTAATACTGCATTACATTTTACAAGAGTGCAATACACATTGTTTTAATATAAAATTTATCGGTTTTCATGAATATTCTAGCTGTCAGCTGCGATCGTTACTTTTCTGTGGTTTCTCTGATTAATACTAGGGGAATGTTGGAGCAGTGCCCTAACAAACGAGAAAGAACAGCGTGCAATCTTTTATTTCTCTAGCTTGACCTATTCTCTTCCCTAAAACACACACACACACACACACACAATGTTCACTATGTCACCACATATGGCAGAAAACCAGACGTGAGCTTAGAGCTTATCCCGGCTAGGGCGAGAAAAAAAGTAGAGAAGGAAATCCTCCGCAAGTGGCATTGAAGGTTGATGACGAATCTCACAATCTATTGGGAGCGGAAAATCACCTCCTCTTGGGGTAAAAACATTCACTACACGATCGGAATGACTTTAGAAGTTGCCGTCCCTTGAATCATCAATCAATTTCACGTGAGTCATTTAGTATTAAATAAAGCAGCAAATTGCGTTCTGCAGAACCAACATACGACTCAACAGCTTACTTTCTCTTCAGACACCATTAGCGCTCTGACTACGAACACCATCTCGAAGTGGCCTCTGAGCAGGGAAATGCATTAGCCTTCGTGCTTTTGCTTCTGGTGTACAAAACATTCCTCTACTAACACTGAAGGAGATTAATGTTTGAGATTTTGACCCAGAAGGAGCCCAATGTTCGCACTTATCAGTTTGGGATTACTGTCTCGAGTTGCATGAAACAACTGCCCCCTCCTCAGGATTGAGAAAACTCTACCCGATACAGTTGTACGAGTACGAGTTTGTATATGCACAATCAGAATACGGACAACTACAAACTTGTGGTTTTCGAATAGAGATGTGACATTGATGTTGATGTTTTCAAAACATCAAACTTTTCATAAAAACGTCCATGTACATATAAGTTAAACGATTTTCCATCGATTAGCAATCTGCGTCAGCGGTACCCCTCCCCACGTGAACATTAATATAGGAATTTATTTATATCGCTTTAAAACATCAATAGAAATGAGACGATATATTATTAACACAGTTATTTAATTTTTAAACATCGGTGATCGGAATCATCGGGGACCATTTTGTTGGCGACGTTACATTTCAATTTTGGAAGACAATTATTAGGGACATAATAAAACAAAATGCTTGGCTTTTTTTCAATTTTGGCCCCTTTTTCGCCATTTGGCCCCACTGTGCGGCGCTAGCTTCCGGAAGGGGGCCAGATGCCGCGGGGTTTCTCGTCGCCATAATGTGCAGCAGAAGAATAGCGACTTCTTCTTCTTCTGGGCCACTGCATTAACAGCGCTCAAGAAAAGAACCGCCAGTTCCTTTTTGCTGGGCCAGTGACCTTATTTGCGAGGAAGCAACTCGAGGACACTCTCCTGGTTATAGATGAGAATTTGCGGTTGCTTTATGACTTCGGAAGTAGCGATCAGAATGGGGTCAGCGATTATACTCGCCGCTATTAAACTCCTGGTTATTTCGTTCTTCGGTTAATACCGGCGGAAGCAATTCTTGTTTTGCGGTAAAATATGGGGCTTGGGTTGCGGTGGAAATGAGTAGTATCAGATTTCAGTTTCTTAATGGGACTTTACTGCTCTACGAATAGAAGAGTGAAAAGTCAGTAGTAGATCACGCAACTGGCCGCGAAATTAAGAAATGTGTTGATAATCGAATTTGAGCTCTTAATAAATTTTGGATATATTATAGGGTTTCACTATTAAAAGCTAACAAACGAAATGTATTTGGTTTCCTTTAAAAAATGATGTGTTACCAAAATACTTAACATTGTATTGCAATGTATTAGTATGAGATTGATGAAAATCAGACCACGAAGGGATATCTGTATCCTGTATACCATTGAAAATTAGAAGGATTCTTAACAATATTTTTGGGTTTAGGATAAATAAACTCATTGTATAATTACTACTTCTCTGTTGGTGTATTGTTGTAATATTGTCAACCCTCACTGCGTTTTAGGGGGGGGGGGCGTTGTATTGAATAAAAATGTTTACTAATATTCTAATCAGTATCGTGCGTTGTTCCACTTGGGAGGGCTAAACTTGGCAATTACAAAATAGTTTATTAATTTCTAAACTCAAGAATACATCAATAATTCAGTATATAATTTTTATTCAGAATCAGTCGTGTTCTGTTTCTACGTTGAAGGAACTTGAAAAAGCTATCGTGACATTTCATAACAATAAGCAATCATCTCACTAGTCTATGGCAACATTTCCTAAATACCATGCCATAGGAATTAGCAGAACAAGGAGAAGGAGAAAATTTAGCCCAATCAAAAAAAAAAAAAAAAGAAATAGAAGATTCGCTTTCTTTTCACATCATTTGCCGACATTTCATTGCTATCCAGAATATAATGTAACTAAAATTCCAGAAAGAGCAGAAACAAATCCTCAAAAGCAGCTCATGAAATTCTTACAAAAATGTATTTCATTCGTATTGAAGGTCAACGTTCAAGTGAGAAAGAATGTACTCGATTTGAATGTTCTCCCTAATTTAACACACTCTTCGAATGATTTCTTATGAACTAAGCTAAAGCGGAAGAATTTAGGTACGCTCAAGAAAGACATGTACACTTAAGAAAATAAAGACGAGACAGTAAAAATTATCTATAATGCCTTCAAACACCCCGCTGCATGGAAATATTAATATGTAGACTTTGGGCTAAGTGTGGCTGTTCTTGTTACTGATTCAAGCCCATCATAATATATTTCTGTTTGTTTACACTTGTCAGATTGTAGGTCGAGACCTCGATTTCACTTGCGAAGTTCTGTTCGACCTTAAAGCAATGCATTGTGTGTAGACAACTGCAGCAGAAGAAGAAAAAGCTTATTTAGATGACTCCGCTCTTCTCGACGTCTTTCTATACTTCCTTTGTGTAGACTTAGAAAAAGGAAAGTTCATTCTCATATTGTTCGCACTACATTTTCTCTTTACATTCTTAGCAATTTATTTGAATGAATTATGAACCATGCACTCAGAGAAAAGGAAAGCAAGCTCGTTCTTTCCTTACCGGTTTTGGGGTTTGCTACTTGGTGTAATGTAAATAAAACTTGTTGAACCAGGTGAAAAACATTATGTTCATTTCAAAAACTAGTCGTAACGATGTACACATACTTTTTTGTATTGTTTAATTTTTCCATACTATCATAAAATGTCAACATAAATAGCGTTAGGATAACAGAGAACCAATTAAAAAACGTGTTTTACTCATTCATTATATTTTATGGTAATTATTGGTTTATTACTTGTACCCGATAGCAGCATGAATGCTTCAAAACAAAGAAGACAAAATGGTTTTCCGTTAGCTGGAACACACAGTGCAAATCCACAAAATAAAATACTACCGTATAACACTACCAAATTAAATATTTTAACAAAAACAATTATATTAATACTCCAATGATATAAGTACAGTAGTGTACAATACGACAGTTCTGTGCATAAAAAGAAAATCAAAAGTTTTTGGTCTCGTTAGTGTAGTGTATGATAGGAGGTGACAGAGCGTGAACGGGCTCAGGCCTACCGGCGACGTCCCTGCCTCGCGGCCGTGGGTTAAAGAGGTACGTGTAGTTAGAACGTTGACATCCACACGCCGTATTCCGGTCTTCTCAACCTGAGAAGTGAATTTTCTCGTAGTTACATAGCAACATAAACAGGTTCATCGCAAGGAAACCGCACACTATAGTTATGATTCAACCGGGAATCAAACACGGGGCACGCTATAGTGAAAAAGCGAGCACGCTGACAAAGAGCCAAAAGACCTAAGTGGTAGTGTAGGGCATTCGAATAAATAAATGTTAAAGGGGACCGTAGATAACAGGGAAGAAATTTTAAACAGTGCATTTAATTACTACATACAAAATCGATATTTTCAACTTTCATATAAGAAGTGCAATACCGTTTCCAGAATAAATTCCGTGGTGGTAGCAGATATCTTGTGGTAATCCTTTATCATATTACCGTTTCCAGAAGTATCCAACACATCCTCAATGCATGGATCTTCACCTCGTCAAAAACAACAACGAATTGTTGAAACTAAAATACACTAATAGTAAATACTTTAAATCTATATATTATGTATCAAAATTACATTAAATTTAAAAGTGTTCCCAACAATATTTTATGCATAATTAATTATAATTCACGTGTTTTGCCTTTACATTGGCAGTGAAACTGTTTTGTTTGTTTCAGACTGAACAAAAATTGGTAGTTAATTTTGTCAGTAAGCGTTATGGGAGGATGCAATATTGCAGTAAATGTTCAGGATTTGTGCTTGTTTCGCCCGCAAGGGATTCCTGGCATGCGCAGCGGCATAAAACCCTGGAACAATCTCACGCATCTGGTAGTTCACCGGCCGGCAGGCCTCGATTACCCGCCGGGTGGGATACAGCTTGCCGCTGGCGGAAACGGAGCAGAAGATGGCGTTCGCTTTCCCAGGAGCGTCGACGCGCCTTCCCATCCACCCGCCCCTCGCCCGCTCCGGCCCCGCCCGCCCGCTCCGCCCCGCCCCCGCCCGCGCCCGCGCTCCGCCTGCGGCCCGCCCCGCCCGCTCCGCTCCGCCCCGCCCGCCGCCGCTCCGCTCCGCCCGCCCCGCCCGCGCTTCCGCTCGCCCGCCCGCGCCCGCTCCGCTCGCCCCGCCCCGGCCGCTGCCCCGCCCGCCCCGCCCGCCCGCTCCGTCCGCCCGCTCCGCCCCGCTCGCCCGCCCGCTCCGCGGCCGCCGCCGCCCGCCCGCGCCGCCCCGCTCCGCCCGCCCTGCGCTCGCGCCCGCCCCGCACCGCCCGCCCCGCCCGCGCCGCTCGCCCCGCCCCGCGCCCGCCCCGCCCCGCTTCCGCCCGCGCGCCGCGCTCGCCCCGCCGGCCCCGCGCTCGCCGCCGCCCGCCGCCGCTCGCGCCGCTGCCGCCCGCCCCGCCCTCGCTTCGCCCCGCCCCGCTCCGCCCCGCTCCGCTGCCGCTCCGCTCGCTCGCTCCGCCGCCGCCCGCTCCGCCTCCGCCGCCCGCCCGTCCGTCCGCCCCGCCCCGCCCGCTCCGCCCGCCCCGCTCCGCCCGCCCCGCCCCGCTTCCCGCCGCCCCGCTCGCGCCCCGCCCGCGCCCCGCCCGCCCCCGCTCCGCGCCCCGCCCCACCCCGCCCGCTCCGCCCCGCCCCGCTTCCGCCCCGCCCCGCTCGCGCCGCACGCGACCGCCCCGCCCGCCCGTCCCGGCTGCCGCCCGCCCGTCCGCCCCGCCGCCGCTCCGCCCCGTGCCGCCGCCGCCGCCCAGCTCCGCCCCGTCGCCCGGCCTCGCCCCGTCCGCCCCCTCCGCGCCCGGCTCCGGCCCGCCCGCGCCCGCTCGCGCCCGCTCCGCCCCGCCCGCCTCCGCTCCGGCCCGCCCCGCCGCTCGCGGCCCGGCCGCCCGCCCCGCCCGCCCGTGCCCGCTCCGCCCGCCCCGCGCCGCTCGCCCCGCACCGCCCGCACCGCCGTCCGCGCTCCGGCGCGCACCGCCCCCGCTCCGCCCGCCCGCTCCCGCCCCGCCCGCCCGGCCCCGCCCCGCCCGCCCCGCCCCGCCCGCCCGCTCCGCCCCGCACCGCCCCGCAGCCGGGCCCGCCCCCCTCGCACCGCGCAGACCCTGTTAGGCGCATTCTGATGGCGCCACTGGCGCACTGCAACGCACATCGGCGGAGCAGGCACGATCGGGCGCCCCGCGCGCCGCCCGTCGCCCAGGGCGACAGCGCCCGAGAACCAGTCTTGGTCCTGGGGGCGTGAGCGTATCACGGGAGCAGGCTCGGGGAAGAGCCACCGCGTTAAAGTAGTTTGCCGAGAGTTTGGGACGAGAATCTTCATTCGGATTCCACGAAGTGATTCACTGAGCGGGCTCCTTTCTTGCGCGAAGTACGATGCTATCTCGATAACTCGGTTCATTGATCATTCAAATCTCGTTCGTCTTATCTCGTTCATGGCATACCGAAATCACTTCGCAACTCAGTCACTCACATCTCGGTTTCTCGCATTCTCGTTTTATTCGCATGTCGCATAGTGCCCCTCCGATGCAGTATCATATTCTCGATCACTATGTATTTTATATCAACTCGCATCTCGATCGTAGCTTCTCATCACTACATCTCGTCACTCACTTCTCGGTTCTCGACTTCTTGAATTCACTCGCAATGTCGACCGGATTTGTCCTAGGCTGTCGGAGTTCTCGACATTGTGAACAGATTGTCAAACTACTGTCAGCTTAAGGTCGAAATCTAGTCCTGGAAAATTCTAGTGGTCGTCTTCTCTGATCCGGCAGTTTTCCATGGTTTCTCTGGCTCAACACACAGGTGAACCCATAGTGGTACCTAACAAAACGGGCCACCGAACCGCGCGCGATCCTTTCCTTTCCGCTTCCTTGTCTATCTTACTCGTTCAACCACTTACATTAGGCATTGCACTACACCATCACACAAGCCGGGGTAGACCGGTCGGGAGCTTAGAACTGGTGTCAACTAGGCGGTGCCTCGCTGTCGCGAGATACATAATTGGGCAAATACTGCTAGCGGACGGTTTAAGTCGGCCCTGAATCTCGCATACAGGCAAGGAAGACCACTGCCACGTCCAGAAGCCATAAAAAAGCACGACAGTTTACGGACTAAACTACGCAAATCTCTCCCAGTCACCCCTTATTTGCGGTGACGTGCATCTTCGCCTAGATTCGAAGAATGGAATACTGTCCACACACTAAGTTATATTATATTGTCTTATATGTTATATATAAAGTTGTCTTTCACAGATCATCTATTTCGTTGTTGTTGAATTGTCTATTATTTATTATGTTATTATTTCTCTGACACTTGCATCTACGAACTCCAGAAGTGTTTGCAATATTCCTCGTCACACAAATATTTCAGAGCAGAGAAACAATTGGTACATAATTCGCAAATATTGAGCCCCTCGTTTT